TGCCCAAGTCCTTGGACCCCTGCACCCACTTGGGAGACCCGGAAGAAGCTCCTGGTTCCTGGCTTCGGATCAGCACAGCTCCAGCCGTTGCAGCCAATTGGGGAGTGAGCCAGTGGATGGAAGACCTTCTCTCTGTCTCCGCCTCTCTCTGTCTGTAACTCTACCTGTCAAATAAATAAATAAAATCTTTAAAAAAAAAATGTTGTGTCCGGGGCAGGCGTTTGCTGTAGATGCCACTTGGGACAGCACTGGGTTTAGGTCCCAGCTCCACTTCTGACTTGGCTTCCTGCTGCCGTGGCCCCTGGAGCAGCGCTGATGGCCTGAAGCCCTGGCTCCGCCGCCCGCCTGGGAGACCCATCTGGAGTTCTGGGCTCCTGGCTTATCTGCCCGACCTGGCTGTTGTTGACATTTGGGGAGTGAACCAGTGGGTGCAAGCTCGCTCGCTCGCTCGCTCTGCTTCTCTGCCCTTCAAATACATTAAAAACAAAACGTGTTGTGTCCTGTAAAAAAAAATCTTTTCTGCCCCACAATCACCAAAGTAGCATTCTCAATAAATAAAAAAATTTAAAATATTTTATTTATTTATTTGAAGGCAGAGTTACAGAGAGGCAGAGAGAGAGAGAGGAGATGGGGGGAGGGAGAGAGAGAGAGAGAGAGAGAGAGAGGTCTTCCATCCGATGGTTCACTCCCCAATTGTCCACAATGGCCAGAGCGGCACTGATCCGAAGCCAGGAGCCAGGAGCTTCTTCCTGGTCTCCCACGTGGGTGCAGGGGCCCAAGGACTTTTGCCATCTTCCACTGCTTTCCCAGGCCACAGCAGAGAGCTGGATCAGAAGGGGGACAGCCGGGACTAGAACCGGCGCTCATATCAGATGCCAGCGCTGCAGGTGGAGGATTAACCTACTGCTCCACGGTGCCAGCCCCTAAATTAATTAATTAATTTTTAAAAAAGGTAGCATTCTGTTTTTCTGTAAAGGCTATTAAAGATTTCGGTGTTTATCTTTAAAGATTTATCTAGGTATTTGAAAGGCAGAAAGAGAGACAGGGAGAGATTTCTTCCACCTGCTGGTTCACTCCCCAAATGGCCGCAGCAGCCAGGGCTGGGCCAGGCTGGAGCAGGAGCCGGCAGCTTGTTCCAGGTCTCCCACGCGGGTGCAGGGGCCCAGCACGTGGGTCGTCTCCACTGCTTTCCCGGGCCATGGCAGGGAGCTGGACTGGAAGCCCAGCAGCCGGGACTCGAATGGGACCGGTGCCCTTACGAGATGCCAGCGCCACAGGCGGCAAGTTTACCTGCTACGCCGCATGCCAGTCCCCCGCTTCCTCTTAACTCACCATTTTTAGCTCGGTGCCCCACACCGGCCCTGGCTCTGGTCCCCGTTTGTCCGGGTGTCTGCTGAGCTCACTCCCTCACCTGCTGTGGCTCCCTCTCTCTACCTTTCTAGGCTCCTTTTTGATGCCTTTGCTTTGAGTTCTGGTCCGGCCCCCGAGAGGTCCCAGCTCTTCTGAGGGCAGCCAGGACCCCTCTGAGCCTTTGCCCTTCCTGTCCCCTCTCTCTGGAATCTTCTTCCTTCATGCCACTCATCTCTGCGCAGCATGTCACCTCCTCAGGGAAGCCTTCCCGGATCGCTTCCCCACGTTCCGTTCTCTCATCAACCATCACACTTGTGCTGCCCTTGATGGAGGGCGTGGGCGAGCTGTCTCGTGGGAGCGATGTCGTGGACAGTTCTGTCCCCCGCGTGGCTCACCCTGCCTTGGTCTCCCTCGAGAACTGGCAGGTGCCACACGTGGGCTCAGCCACGCCGGGGGAACAGCGCCACCTGTCTGAGCAGCAGGGGCCGGCAGGCTGGGGAGGCGGGGCCTGGGGGACCGCTGCACCTGACCAGCCTCGTGCCCACGCAGACAGACCCGGTGCGGCTGACCCAGCTGTACGAGCAGGCCCGCTGGGACCTGCTGCTGGAGGAGATCGACTGTACGGAGGAGGAGATGATGGTGTTCGCGGCTCTGCAGGTGCCCGGGGTCCCCGGGGAGGGGGGGGCCCTCCTGCGGGACGGGGCGGGGGGCGGCTGGCTCAGCCCTCCCTGGCCGCACCCCCAGTACCACATCAACAAGCTGTCCCAGAGCGGGGAGGCGGGTGAAGCCAGCGGCGCGGACCCGGGGCTGGATGACCTGGACGCGGCCCTGAGCAACCTGGAGGTGAAGCTGGAGGGGTCAGCGCCCGCGGATGTGCTGGTGAGGAGGCGCCGGGGCCGGGCGTGGGCCGGGCGTGGGCCGGGGTCTCGGGGCTCCCCCTGACTCCTCGGCGCCCACAGGACAGCCTCACGGCCATCCCGGAACTCAAGGACCACCTCCGCATCTTCCGGTGAGTGTGCGCCCCGGGCTGGAGGCGGTGGGGGAGCCTGGTCTGGAGCGGGGGTGGGGGCGGCCTGGCACAGACCTCGCCCCGCCCCCGCCCCCGCCCCGCAGACCCCGCAAGCTCACGCTGAAGGGCTACCGCCAGCACTGGGTGGTGTTCAAGGAGACCACGCTCTCCTACTACAAGAGCCAGGACGAGGCCCCGGGAGAGCCCGTTCAGCAGCTCAACCTCAAGGGTGAGTGCCCGAGGCCCACCCGCGGCTGCTCCCACTCTGCCTGGCTCCTCCTGGGGCCAGGGCACCCCTCCGGGCAGGTCCCCCGTACCCACTCGCAGCGCACCCCTCTGCTCCCTGCAGGCTGTGAGGTGGTCCCCGATGTCAACGTCTCTGGCCAGAAGTTCTGCATCAAACTCCTGGTGCCCTCACCCGAGGGCATGAGCGAGATCTACCTGCGATGCCAGGACGTGAGCGGGGCGGGGCGGGGCCGGGACCAGGGGCGGGGCCTGGGAGGGGTGGGCAGGGCAGGAGCAAGGTGGGGCCAGGGCAGGGCGTGGTCTGAGTGGGGCGGGGCTTGGGAGGGGTGGGCGGGGGCGTGGTCTGAGCGGGGCGGGGTGGGGCCTGGGAGGGGTGGGCAGGGCAGGAGCAAGGTGGGGCCAAGGCGGGGCGTGGTCTGAGCTGGGGTGAGTGGGGCGGGGCGGGGCTGAGCTGGCTGGCCCCTCACTCCCACCCCGTCCCCCGCCCAGGAGCAGCAGTATGCCCGCTGGATGGCCGGCTGCCGGCTGGCGTCTAAGGGCCGCACCATGGCGGACAGCAGCTACGCCAGCGAGGTGCAGGCCATTCTGGCCTTCCTCAGCCTGCAGCGTTCGGGCGGCGGGGGCTCCGGCAACCACCCCCAGGGCCCTGACGCCTCGGCTGAGGGCCTCAACCCCTACGGCCTCGTCGCCCCTCGCTTCCAGCGCAAGTTCAAAGCCAAGCAGGTGCCGGAGGGAGTAGGGGACGGGAATATCCACCGCGGTTACCTGGCCTCCCCTGGGGAAGCCAGGTCCCCACCCACTGGGGAGGGCCGCGGTGCCGGTCCCCCAGGGCGTGGCCCTCCGCAGGCTCAGCTAACTGGTTCCATGCCAAGGGGCGAGCGGGGGTCTCTGGAACTTTGCGGGGAGGCGGGGGAGGGCCAGGCAGCCCCTCACCAGCCCGGCCCTGCAGCTCACCCCGCGGATCCTGGAAGCCCACCAGAACGTGGCCCAGCTCTCGCTGACCGAGGCCCAGCTGCGCTTCATCCAAGCCTGGCAGTCGCTACCCGACTTCGGCATCTCCTACGTCACCGTCAGGTGGGCTCCCAGGCCCCGCCCCGCCCACGGAGCCTGGTCTCCACCCCCACCTGCCTCCTGGCCCGCTTGTGCCCACAGCCCCCGAGTGGGTCCCGGGCAGGCCACCCTGTGTCTCCCTCCATTCCACCGGCCCGCAGTAAACACAAGAGACAGGGCTCGGGCCAGGGAGGTGCGAGACCAGCTCCTGTCCCAGCTCTGCCCGACGGCCCCGCCCTGGGCCCCGGTGGGCTGGTCTGGGAGCCAAGGCGATGTGGAGCCCCCCAAGCCTGCAAAGGCGGGGAGGCACTGGCTGATGACTTGTGACACCGAGCAGCTCCGTGACTTAAAGGCCGGATCTGCTAACCGCTCTCAGCACAGCACGTCAGTCACCTCCCGAGCTCCGTGACTCGCTCAGAGACACAGGCAGCCCTGGCTCACTGTGCCAGGCTCCGGGGCCCTGCAGGGTGGAACCCTTGCTCACCGCCCCCCCCCCCCCCGCCAGGTTCAAGGGCAGCAGGAAAGACGAGATCCTGGGCATCGCCAACAACCGACTGATCCGAATCGACCTGGCTGTGGGCGACGTGGTGAAGACCTGGCGTTTCAGCAACATGCGCCAGTGGAATGTCAACTGGGACATCCGGCAGGTGCGGGCGCAGTGAGGGTGGGCGGGGCCGGGCAGGGGCGGGGCCAGGCAGGGCGGGGCGGGGCCAGGCAGGGGCGGGGCCAGGCAGGGCGGGGCGGGGGCCGGGCAGGGGCGGGGCCAGGCGGGGCCGGGCGGGCGCCCCCGCGAGCCCTCTGACGGCGCCCCCTGCAGGTGGCCATCGAGTTTGACGAGCACATCAACGTGGCCTTCAGCTGCGTGTCGGCCAGCTGCCGCATCGTGCACGAGTACATCGGCGGCTACATTTTCCTGTCCACCCGGGAGCGGGCCCGAGGGGAGGAGCTGGACGAGGATCTCTTTCTGCAGCTCACGGGGGGCCACGAGGCCTTTTGAGGGCTGTGTGCCAGCCCTGGCCCTGCTCACCACCTGCCACGGCCACGCCCCAGCCCACGCCCGCTGGGACTCACTGCCCCACGCCCTCTGCAGGCACGCACGAGCTGGACACATTCACCGGCTGCCGCTGGCTTTGTGCAGGCCGGGGCCCTGGTGGGGCCTGACCCCCGCCATCACCCAGGCTAGGGAAGGTGGGCCCTGGGCGCACATGGCGGCCCCTGCCTTATTCTGAGCGCACAAGATCAGCTCCCCGACCCCTGTGCAGCCCCGGGCCCGCGCGGAGGACCCATGGATGTAGCAAAAGGATGAAGAATTATGGCTTCCCACTGGTGTTTCTTTCGTGTTACCTTTTTAAAATTTTGTTTTTATAAATGAATATTTTTATTGTTGGCTCATCCTGCTTCGTCTGGGGCTGTGCTCAGGGCTCTGACCCGCCATCTGCTTGTCCTCAGCCAAGGAGAGGGGCTTTCCTGGGAGAGACGTGAGTTAGTTAGACACAGGGAGAGCTGAGGCCGGGGCCAGGGTTCCGGGACAGGAGCAGGGAGCCACGGTGCTCACGGGTGGGGCGGAGCTGTAGTGCCTCCTTGAAGTACTTGGGCGGCAGGAAGCCGTGGGCGTTCCCCGGGGTCAGGATCACTCCGTTGGCCGAGCGGAAGAAGCGGATCCCATCTGCGAGGGAACCACAGCTAGGACTCCGGCCCTCCCGAAGGCCGGGGCGGTCACTCTCCGCGTCCAGACTCACCTGCCAGAGCTAGCGGCCCGTCGATGAACACGGCCACTTCGCAGTGGGGCCGCATGCCTGCGGAGACCACCGGAGCTGCAGCCCAGGGGCCAGGACCCCGGGCTGGGGCTGGGAGGGGCGTCTCACGCAGGGCATGGGGCGGCATTGGACGAGGGAGCCCGTGACCCTTGGAGGGACCTGGGGGGACACAGCAGGTGCGATCTGCCGGGGCACTGACCACTGATGACGCCGGGGTCCCCCGGCAGTCCCGGGGCCAGGTGGATGTGCGTCCTTCCTCGGCAGGACAGGCCCTGGAGCAGGATGGACGGCCAGTGCTTCCGGAAAGTACCATGGACCAGCGTCTGCGGCAGGGCCTGTGGTGTCTCCAGAGGCCTCAGCTCCAACTCCGGCACCTGCGACGGGCAGCAGTCAGTCCCCCGGCACGAGCAGGGGTCCCCTCTGGCTCTCCCACTCGTCCCCTGTGCCCCACCTGCAGGGAGTGGCCCTGATTGGCCCGGATGAGAGGGCCGGTGCTGGGGTCCCCCGGCTGCAGGGCAAAGCGCTGCTTCTCACTGGCGTCCACCACGCGCTGCACGTCTTCTGCTGAGAAGCCGCGGAACTGTGGCAGCTGCAGGAGGGCGCCCAGCGGCACGAAGCCATCTGCAGGCAGACAGGGGAAACAGAGCCCGGGCCCGGGCCCCCGCTGTGTGGGCTCCCCTTTCTGGGCCTCAGCTTCCCCAAATGACAAGGGACGAGGATCTGCCGGGTGGGGGGGTGTCAGGGGCAGGAAAAAGCGCTTAGCATAGTCCCCTGGCCCAGACAGGACACCGAATGACCCCCAAGTTCCCACCCCTGGGATGCGCTTAGTGGGCTACCTGGCTGGAGGCGGCATCTCCAGGCTCCACCGCCCCGTGGACCTGACACAGGCCTCAGGGCCTTGCTCTTCTCTGTGCCTTCCTCACAGAGGAAGCGGGAGCCACGGACAAGGGGTCACAGGCTCAGATCGTCCCGACTGCTCCTCACCCAGCCTCCACGTCCCTCACTTACCAGGCCCCATGGGAAGCCCCAGCTTCAAGGCACCGTGGCGCAGGGCATAGGACAGAGCCTTGGACAGCTGCACATCTCGGTCCTAAGAGAGCCCAGAGGTGGCCGCTGGCCTCCATGGAGACCTTGCCCTGCTGCCCACCCTGAACCCGGAATGACCGGTCCCTGCAGGGGCAGGGCAGAGTGGGCAGAGCCCCTGTGATCTCCAGGAATTCTAAGACCCATCAGCCCACCCCCGGTCAGGAAGCCAGGGCTCTGAAAGTCCCCTCCGCTGTCCCGCGAGGGCGGGGTGGCAAGGAGCGCACCTGTTCCCGGGGTCTGTGAGCCCTTCTACCCTTGGGCGCTGTTGCCTCCTGCCTCCTTCCTCCAGAGTTCATGGCCAGACCTGTGGGTAGCAGGGGGATGTGGGGGCCGCTTCCAGCACCCTCCCAGGTCCCCACGTGCCCGGAGTCACAAAGCCTCAGGATGTCAGGGCTGGGAGGCGAATACACGCGCGTCCCACCCCGAATCTCTGGTGCAAGGACAGAAACGAAGGCCCAGCAGGCAACACTTGCCCAAGGTCACACTGGCAGTCACGCAGGCCAGCGAGGCCAAGCCCAGCGCTCGACTGGCGGGTGCGCCCCGCAAGGCGGGCCTGGAGCGCAGAGGCCGGGCAGGGCCCACAGGGCGGGCGGAAGCGCGGAGGACCAGGGGCCGGGGCCGGGATGGCTTTAAGCGACGGGAGGCGGGGCTCTCCGGCCCGCCAATGAGAAGCCGCGGGCGAAGGGGCGGGCACTTCCGCTTCAGGGAAGGGGCGGGGCCTGCGGGCGCAGCCGGCCGGTGAGTTCCGAGTGCCGGCTTTGGAGGCTGGAGATCCCGGATCCGGGAGGGGATCCCGCTCGTCCCGGGTTGGAGGCAGGACCATGGGGTTTGCGGAACATGGGCGTTTGGGGGGGCCCGGGATGTCCAGGTGGTAGGGATGCCCGGGAGTCTCCAGGGATTTCTGCCAGCGGGAGTCCCAGGCACTCTGCGGACTGTCCGTGGAGTGGTCAGTGGGGTGCAGGAGGGTTGGGGCACCCTCAGGAGGTCTGTGAAAAGGGCGCCGCGGCCACGGGTCCCCTCACCCCCACGGGCCTGGTTGTGTCCTCCAGAGCCGCCCTGTCCAGACCATGGACGCCGAGGTGTCGCTGCTCCTTCAGTGCCCTGCGGGGGGCCTGCCCCAGGAGCAGGTGCGGGTCGAGCTGAGTCCAGCCCACGACCGCCGCCCACTGCCAGGAGGGGACAAGGCCATCACTGCCATCTGGGAGAGCCGGCTCCAGACCCAGCCCTGGCTCTTTGACGCCCCCAAGTTCCGCCTGCACACGGCCACACTGACCGCCCCCATGGGCTCTCGGGAGCCAGAGCTGCTCCTGCGCCTGGGCCTTACATCCTACCGAGACTTCCTGGGCACCAACTGGGCCAGCTCGGCCGCCTGGCTGCAGCAGCAGGGGGCCGCCGACTGGGGCGACAGGCAGGCCTATCTGGCGGACCCCCTGGGAGTGGGTGCCGCTCTGGCCACTGCTGACGACTTCCTGGTCTTCCTGCGCCGCTCTCAGCAAGTGGCTGAGGCTCCTGGGCTGGTGGACGTGCCCGGGGGGCACCCTGAGCCTCAGGTGAGACTCCAGGCTGGGCGCGAAGACCCGGAGAGCTCGGGCAGCTGGGGCTCTAAGCTCTCCCGGCTTCGGCTTCCTCATCCTGAATGGGAAAACTGGCCCGGTGTTCTGCTGGAAGCGCACAGAGCTTGCCGCGGCGGGCAGGGTGCCACTCAGCCTGTCCTGCCCCTCGCTCAGCCCCGCAGCCTCCCCTGCTGCCGAGCCCTGCCCTCCCTCCCCTGCTCCAGACCCGTGGGGAGCTAGGAACCGTGGGGGTGGAGAGGTGGGTAGAGGAAGGAGATGCTGTCCCCCAGCCCCAGCCCCTGGCTGGGCCTCCGGCTGCGCATGTGGGGTAAGAGGGTCGCCAAGGAGCTTGCACCGTGCCCACCCCAGGCCCTCGGGGCCAGCAAGTGGGGGGGGGGGGCAGGAGCTGAGCCTGATCTCTCCCAGGCCCTGTGCCCTGGTGACAGCCCCCAGCACAAGGACCTGCCCGGGGAGCTGGTGGTCCGTGAGCTCTTCTCCAGTGTCCTGCAGGAGATCTGTGACGAGGTGAGTGCGGAATGGTCCAGACGGCCTGGTGGGCACCGGGGGAGGCGATTTCTACAGGTCTGTGTTTGCAGGAGGGCCTGCAGGCATTCTGGCATGGAGGCGAGCCCTGAGTGCGAATTTTGCCCTCAGCTCCTGTGCCCTGGGGCTTCCGGGGATGCACTTCTTGCTACTCCCGGAGTTTGCTGAAGTGGGAGTGCCAGCTAAGGAACTGACTTCCCACAGGGCGGCTTGTTCCCTCTGTCTCTCGGTTTTCCCGTCTGTAAAATGAACACACCCAGGAGCTGATGTTCTGGGAAGCCACAAAGTGACTGCCAGGGGTGGAGATGTGGGCGGCGCACTGACAGGCGGGCCCCCACCCCCCCACCCAGGTGAACTTGCCGCTGTCCACCCTGAGCCAGCCCCTGCTGTTGGGCATCGCCCGCAACGAGACCAGCGCCGGCCGTGCCAGTGCTGAGTTCCATGTCCAGTGAGTTCTGGGTTTGGGGGGAGGTGGGTGGTGAGGGGCAGGGCGGGAGCTCCACCAGGACTGGGAACCCCCCAAGCCACCCCCCTGTCCTTGCCCAGATGCAGCCTGACCTCTGAGCAGGTCAGGGAGTACTACCTGAGCGGCGGACCCGAGGCCCACGAATCCACAGGGATCATCTTTGTGGAGACACAGGTGTGGCCTGGGGTCGGGACCCGCAGGGGCTGCGGGGGCAGAGGGCGCCGGGTCAGGGCGGGCGCCGGGTGTCTGAGTCCCGCTGTGTCCCCGTGTCCCCGCAGCGCGTGTGGAGGCTGCAGGAGACGGAGATGTGGGCCGAGCTCTGCCCCTCGGCCAAGGGCGCCATCCTTCTCTACAACCGCCTGCAGGGGAGTCCCGCCTAGGCCCCCGCTGGACCCCCACAGCTCTGCAGACAATAAAGGCCTTTTTCTTGAACTCCGTTAGCATCTGCTGTGTCCCTGACTCAGAGGGGGCTGCAGGGAGAGCCCCAGGCGGCTGACATGACAGGACAAGGGACTTGCCGCAACACGCTCGCACGCGCGCTCCCGGGCGCCAGTGGAGTGGCAGCAGCTTCGTGGACTCTGCCTCGCTGCAGCGCGGAACCACGGCCCAGTCCGCAGAAGCGAGGGGCAGCGGAATCCCCAGTGAGGGCTGGCTCTGCCCGCTCTGCCCTCCGGCCCGGCGCCGGCGGCTGTCAGCACCTCCACACGCCTCGCTTCGGTGGGTCGGCCCAAGGAGTCAAGGGCCAATAGGCACGGGGGGCGTGGTCTTCGGGGCCTTCCTGCGCGGTGGGCGTGGCCCGGCCGTTTCAGCCAATAAAGGTGCAGGGCGGTGCCTGACGGGGAGCAGGAAATGGCGGCGGCCGCGGAGTCCGTGAGTGCGGCGGGGGCGGGGCTTGACTGCGGCCCCTCCTTCGCCAGCTCCCTAATTTCCTGGGTGGGGAGGGGTCTCGGCGCGCTGGGCGGGCTGTGCAGACGCTGAGGCCGAGCGGGGAGGGCCCCGGACGCCGGGGTCAGGACCCTGGACTCGGGGATCGGATCCTAGGCCAGGAGGCAGCCCTCCCCGTGGCTGTCTTGCTCCGTAAAGAACGGGGCCGGGCTCCTTCCTGCGCCTTGGCCCGGACCGCTGGGAGGCTGGCCCGCCTGGCCCCCATGCACTCCCCTTGGTGGGCTCCTCTCCCCAGCTGCCCGCCCGTCGTCATGCCGCCCTTGTGGTCCCTGCTGCCCCCGCGCCTATGTCGCCAGTGGCCCCGCAGCCCTCCCTGCCGGCTCTTCGGAGCGGCCGCCGCGCAGCGGTGAGTGGGGCGCCGGCCCGGCTGGCTGTTCGGTGGGTGTGCGTTGAGGGCCTGCGCCTCAGGGCTCGGCCCAGGTAACCCTCACCTTCAGTGCCGAGGACACTGGACGGGAGATGAGGAGCCTGCCCCTAAGGCCCCGAGTGAAGTGGCAGATCGGACCCTGAGCCCAAGCCAAACCCAGTGCTCTTTCCACAGTGGCTGTCAGGCTTCATTCGGGACCACTGGGGGTGTGGGGGAGGCCGGGTATGAGCGTGCAGCTTCCTGGGCCCCGGATCAGGTGGGACAAGATTTCCACGCACGGGGGAGAAAGGGCTGACCCGCAGCAGCCAGAGGCACCCTCCAGGAGAGGGGTGATCTGGAGGTCGGTCCGTCTTGGGACCTCCTCCACCTCCTGGTGGCTGAGTGCGGGGTGTGGCCCAGGAGGAGGGAGGGGAGTCCTGCAGGTTCGGGCCTCTCTCCGTAGATCCAGCCCCAGGAATTACTATGAACTGTTGGGGGTGCATCCTGGTGCCAGCGCTGCAGAAGTGAAACGCGCCTTCTTCGCCAAGTCCAAAGAGGTACCGGTGCCCCGACGGCCAGGCAGGAGGTCTGAGCCGGGTGGGGGTGCCCTGGAGAGACCCGTGTCGTCCCTTCAGCCTGCATGGGTGCTGGGAAAGTGCTCCAGGGGCAGGGGTCTGGCCACCTGGGAAAGCTAAGGGGGCACGAGCCAGGGGTCCAGTCTGATGGGTCGGGCTTGGGTTTCTTAGCCTGCCTGTCCGCTCTTCAGAAACCTGGGCCGGACCTGTGGTGAGCGCCGGGGGCTGGCAGCTGGGAAGGACTTGAGGGGAGGGGCCAGGAGGCTGTGTTTGCTGACCCTGTGGGCTTTCTGGAGGGGTGGACAGGCCTGAGATTGGGCGTCACGGCCCACACAGGGCCTCCGGGAATGATGTGATCCCTCGTGGGTGGACGTGACCGGGGTGGGCCCAGGGAAGGGAGGTAAGGGGAGTCCCCCTGTATCCCAGCTGCACCCGGATAGAGACCCTGGAAACCCAGCACTGCACGGCCGCTTTGTGGAGCTGAGTGAGGCGTACCGCGTGCTCAGCCGTGAGCAGAGCCGCCGCAGCTATGACCACCAGCTCCGCTCAGCTAGCCCCCCAAAGTCTGCAGGGACCACAGCCCATGCCAATCCTGCCCGCCAGACACACAGGTACCGGAGTCCTGCCCTGCGGGCTTCCACGCTCAGGCCTTCTGGGGAGACTCATTGCATCCTGTCCCTTCCTTGCCTCCCAGCAGCTCCTGGGAACCCCCCAATGCGCAGTACTGGGCCCAGTTTCACCGCGTGAGGCCGCAGGGACCGGGGGCCAGACAGCAGCACCAGCATAACCAGCGGGTACTGGGGTACTGCCTCCTGCTCATGCTGGCCGGCATGGGCCTGCACTACGCCGCCTTCAGGTGCGTCCCCGGCCTCCCGGGCATGGGGCAGAGGGCGGGGGAAGCCCAGTGTGGCCGCCGGCCAACGCACCCCCCAGCCCCCAGCCTCGTGTCTCCCAACGGAAGACGTGCAGGAACTCGGGCTCTGGGCCTACTCCTTGCTAAGTCACCTCTGTCGCTTTCCACTCCTTCATAATTTGAATGTGAATCCGTGGTGTTGGCTGCCAAGGAGGGCTGGGGCCAACCAAAACCGTGCACAGGAGGTAAATGCATTGTCACCGGGCCCCTCAGCCGCCGTCCCACGCAATGACCTGGATTTCCTACAGCAAAGACACCCAGGGGCCAGTGCCCCATTCAGCGGCAGACCCTCATGTCCATGGCTGTTGTCACCTTGTGACACCTTGTGAGCAGGACAGCCAGGGGCCTTGGGGTGCCATTGATGCTGGCCGTGCCCTGGCCACTCTGCACCCCTCTGCTCACCTGTGACGGGCAGGGTCAGGTGAGGCCCCACAGGTGGAAAGCTGTGAGTGCCTAGAGTGAGGTGGGGGGACAGGACCTGGGGGACAGCAGGGCTGACTGTAGCCCACTGCCCGCAGGAAGCTGGAGCAGGTGCACCGTGGCTTCATGGATGAAAAGGACCGGATCATCACGGCCATCTACAACGACACCCGGGCCAGGGCCAGGTCTGTCTCTGCTTTCCTCTGCCCGACCCCTGTCCTGGCGCCACCCTCCAGGACCCCTGCCCGGACGTTCAGGTGCTCTCTCCTCCAGGGCAAACAGGGCCAGGCTCCAGCAGGAGCGACTACAGAGGCAGCAGCCAGCGCCCCCCGGATCTCCCCAGGACCCCAGGATCGTGCCGGGGGCCCCCAGCCCTTGAGGGGCTCACCTGGATGGGGCCTGCAGTGTGCTCGCAGGGCTCCACGCTCCCCCACAACGCGTGCAATAAAGTGATTCTCAGAGCTGGAGTCCAGACCCCTCCTTCGCGTCCAGTGCCCCCTGCCCGGCCTCTCCCAGGGGCAGCGCCCCGCCCTCCGGGATCTGGCAGTGGTGACCCGAGAGCCCGGCCCCCTGGGCGGCGCGTCCCCTTTCCCCTGCAGCGCCGGGAGGGGGTGTGTGGAGGGGGCGGGCCCCGCCAGCGGCCTCCCCCCCACCCCCGCCCCGCCCCCGCCCCACGGCCCGGTGGGGAGCGCGTGTCTGGGTCACATGAGCCGCCCGCCCGCCAGCCCGGGCCCGGCCCCCCGCCACCCCCGCCGTCCCCGCCGCCGCCGCCCGCCACCGCCGCCACCACCACCGGCTGCCCGCCCGCCCGGCTCCTCCGGCCGCCGCCGCCGCGCTACGCTGCGCTGCCTGCGCCCAGGGCTCGGGAGGGGGCCGCGGAGGAGCCGCCCCCCACGCCCGGCCCCCGCTCGCCGCGCCCGGGCCCGCGCCATGGGGCTCTGGCTGCCGCCGCCCCCTGCGCCACCGGGTTAGGGCAATGCGGGCGACCCCGGCGCGCGGCCCCCGCGGGCACCATGAGCCCCCTGCTCCTCCGCCTGCTGCTCGCCGCGCTCCTGCAGCTGGCCCCCGCCCAGGTACGTGCGTCCTCCACATCCCGCCCGCCGCCGTGCCCTCTCAAGGTTGGCGGAAGTGGGGAGGCGCCGAGCGGCCTCCGCCAGGGGATCCACAGGGTCCAGCCTCGAACTCCAGCATCGCGGGGCCCGGCTCGGGCATCCCCCCAGGAGGTGCCCCTGCCCGCCGGCCTGCTAGCCCGCCAGCCCGCCCAGGGGCCACTGCCCCGCCCCGCCCGATCCCCTGGGCGCCAAGGAGAGCGGGAGCTGCCTCAGTGCCTGCCGGACCTGGTTCGGTGCCCTCTGTGCCGCTCCTGACCTGCAGCCACCAGCACCAGCCTGGCAGAGGCTCGAAGAGTTGACTCTGCCGGGAGACCGCAGCTGGCAGAACTGGGCCGGGCAGGTCCCAGGTGGCCGGGAGAGGACCGCTAACGCCAGAGTGAAGCCCAGGATTACAGCAGTCTGAAGCCTCCTGCGCCAGCGCAGGGCGAGCCCCTCCCAAGTGCACCCTGGGTCCAGCTCTCTTCTCTCCCACAGGCCCCTGTCCCCCAGCCTGATGCCCCTGGCCACCAGAAGAAAGGTAACGTTGCACTGCCTTTGCGCTAGCCGGCACAAGAGGGCCTGCCCCAGCCCCAGCCCCAGGCTCGTCTAACCACGGCTCCCCTAGACGGCGCACACTTTTACTCTGCCCATCTCACAGAGAGGAGACTGAGGCGGTGGATTAAACAGGACAAGAAAGGACAGGTTGGGAGGGCAGGGAGGTGGCCAGCGGGGAGGGTGGCCGTGACACGTGACACAGGCCCTGGGGAACGGCTGCAGGAAACCCAGTGGGGACTTAACCTTTACCGTCTGCCTCTAGTGGTGTCATGGATAGATGTGTACGCCCGCGCCACCTGCCAGCCACGGGAGGTGGTGGTGCCCTTGACCGTGGAGCTCATAGGCACTGTGGCCAAGCAGCTGGTGCCCAGCTGTGTGACCGTGCAGCGCTGCGGTGGCTGCTGCCCTGACGATGGCCTGGAGTGTGTGCCCACGGGGCAGCACCAGGTCCGGATGCAGGTATGGCCAGGTGGGACAAGTGGCTGTGGTACAGGCTGGCACTCCTGCGGGGCAGGGCCCTGGGCACCCCTTCTCTCTCTCACGCTCTCTCTGCCCCCACTTTTGTCTTGCGCACAGATCCTCATGGTCCGGTACCCGAGCAGTCAGCTGGGGGAGATGTCCCTGGAGGAACACAGTCAGTGTGAATGCAGGTGCCAGCCAGGCCCAGCTTCGAGGCTGGGAGTCCAGGTGGGGAGGGGGGTGTGCTGGTCACACCAGAGCGGGGATCAGGCTGCCAGCAGAGCCAGAGGTAGGCCTGGGACGTGCTGCAAGTGAGGCGCACGCAGGCACCTGTGTCGTGGCAATGCGTGTTAAGCCACCGCGCCCGCGTGAGCACCGGTTCAAGTCCGGCTGCTCCACTTCCAATCCAGCTCCCTGCTAATGTGCTGGGGAGGCAGCAGAAGCTGGCTTGAGTGCTTGGGCCCCTGCCGTTCCCCGGGAGACCCCGATGGAGTTCCATGCTCCTGACTTCCAGCTGGCTCAACCCTGGCTGTTGTAGCCACTAGCAGAGCGAACCAGTGGATGGAAGATGTCTCTGTAACTCCGCCTTTCAATCAATCAATCTTTGAAAAAAAAAGAGGGGGTGCACAGGTTTCCTGATCCTCCTCCCCTTTGTCTCTGTCTCTCTTACTACTTTTCAGACCAAAAAAGAGAGAGAGTGCTGTGAAGGCCGACAGGTGAGTGCTCGCGTGGGCGGGCCAGGGGTGTGGGAGTGAGGGGGGAGGCAGCTGCGGTTCCTTCCCGGCTCTCTCCTCCCACCTGTCCCCCCCCCACCCCCCCCAGCTCCCGGGAAGACTCTTCCTTCCCGCCCCAGACATGTCGCTTCTCCTCCTAGGGCTGCCACTCCCCACCACCGTCCCCAGCCCCGCTCCGTTCGGGGCTGGGACTCCGCCCCCGGGGCACCCTCCCCAGCTGACGTCACTCATCCCACTCCAGCCCCAGGCCCCTCTGCCCACGCTGCGCCCAGCGCCGCCAGCGCCCTGACCCCCAGACCTGCCGCTGCCACTGCCGACGCCGCAGCTTCCTCCGTTGCCAAGGGCGGGGCTTAGAGCTCAACCCAGACACCTGCAGGTGAGGGGTCTGTGGGGTGGCGGTTGCCTGGGAAGGCATCGAGGCCCTGGCTTGGAGCAGGTCCAGGGTGAGCCTGCCAGTGGGAGGAGAGCCAGCAAAGGGGAAGCTCTTGAATGTGTTGAACAAATATTTACTAAGTGTCTGCTGGCACGGGCCTTGGCACAAACAAGGCTCCCGTTCCAGTTCGGGTGTTGGGCACGAGGAGGAGTAATGCCAGCAGAGGATGTGCAGGGCTGGGGTGGGGGCACCTGCCTGGAGCCTTCCAACCTGGGAAGCCCTGGGCCTTCCCAGCGGCCGCCTCTGGGAGGCACTGGCTCCTGCAGGAACCCTTGTGTACCCCTGCATCCCAGTGGGCAGCAGCATGCGGGCCGGGAGCGGACGGGGCTCCCGGAGGGTAACAGCCGTGTGTGGAGAGGAGCTGGGCTGAGCTCCCCTTGCCCGCCCGCCCTCCCACAGGTGCCGGAAGCTGCGAAGGTGACACACTGCTTTCCAGACCACACGCCGGTGGGGAAGGGAGCGGAACCTGGGGGAACACGGCCAGCCCAGGTGCCGACCTCAGCCTGGGCCGACGCTGCTCCAGGCCCTGGGCCGCTCCCGCCCGCCATGTCGCCCTGAGGCTGCCATCTGGGGCAGGGTGCACAGGGCTGGGCAAAGGGACTTGGAGAGCGGCGGTTACCAGCCACGGGAGCATGGGGTACTGCCTCAGGTTTTAGCCACCCTGTGCAAGTGAGCCTCTTGCAAGCGGCTCCTCCCTCCCCTCCCAAGGACCCCAGACATCTGCCAACAATGGGATTTGGGCTGTGGCCTGAAAACTGTGACCCTCCCCCCAACCCCGATAAAAGACGTAAGGAGCTGTTCCTGCCTGTGTCACTGTGTCAGCATCCAGACAGCTTCCGAGACCAGAGCTCATGGGGCCGGAAGCCCGGATTCGGCGCGTTCAGGTTACTGAAAGAGAACCCGGTCTGCGCGGAGTCCCGCCCCCTGCTCTCACCAGGGTTCAGTGAGCGGGAGAGGGGACCCGGCCCTGAAGCCACACGCCTGCCCTGTCCCCAGCTCGGTCTTGGCTTGAGGGCCCAGCCCCCCTGGCTGCAGCCCACACGGTGTTTTTCCACCTTCACCTTGGCGCCCCACACCCTCGGCCGCTGCTTCCTGAGACCCGGGCTCAGTCCAAGCTCCGTGGCCATGCTTCCCCTACGGCCTGGGTGCCCAGGGCTGAGTGCAAGGCAGCAGACCAAGGCCAGCAGTGGCCGCCAATGCTTCGTCCTGTGGAGGCAGGACATCCGGGGGCAGAAGGAACAAAGCAGCCCCCCGAAGTTGGTTTCTCTGAGGGGCGGGGGAGGGTACGGCCATGACCTTGGTGCCTCAGGTCGCCTTCCCAGCCAGGGGGTCCCAGACAGACGAGGGTCTGGGCCTAACACTGCTTCCAGCAGCCGTGGGCTCCCTCCCGAAACATCAGCCTGCGGGCCGACACTGCCCGCCACGGGGACTAGGCCTGGAGGCCTGGCCACAGCCCAGCGTCCCCTCCACCCACCCGGCTCAGCCGCCTCAACTGCAGGTTCACTAAGTTCACGGGAGGCAGGGGCGGCCTGGGGACTGGGGCGGAGCAGGCGCCCTGCGGGCGGGCTGCTGTCAGGCCCTACTACAGAATCCTGTCGGACTGAAATTCTGCTCAAGGTCACGCGGCCTGTCCACGCGTGGAGACCCGGCATTCAATCCCAGCGAAGTCCAGGCGCTTCCCACAGCAGCTAGCGCGAAGAGGCCGGGCTGGCCGGGGCTGTGCGAGAAGCCGGGGCGACGCACAGCGGCAACTCACGCCCGCCTGGCCTCGCTGTCACGCCGGCCGGAAGTGCCTTCGGCCCTTCGGGCGCTCACTCGCCTCTACCTAGACGGACCACGGCTCCGCCGGAAATGACGCACCGGTCGCGCGGCGGGGCGGGGGCGGGGCTAGGGCGAAGCCACGCCCGCGGGCGGCTGCGGCGGGTTTCGCCGGGTCCAATGAGGGAGGGCGGCGTGGCCCGGCCTGGGAGTGACGAGGCCGCGCCTGCGCAGAGGCGGCAGCACGACCGGGGTTGACTCCGGGGGCGCGGCGAGGAGGTGAGCGGGGGCCACAGCCCGGGCCGGGGGAGCTGGGGTGCAAGAGGGCAGGCTGGACCAGGTCGGGCAGCAGCGGGCCGGGGCGCCGAGTGTCAACGAGGGAGAGGCGACGAGGGGGTAGGGGGTTGGGGTTGGAGCTGTCGGAGATGCCGCAGGGGGAGGGTCCTCACGCCGCACGGGGCGGAGCCCTGGTACTCGGGGCGGGAAGTGGGACGGAGACGGGCGGGGCCGCCCCGCGGGCGCCAGTGAAAGGCGGGGCTCGGCGGCTGGGGGCGGGGCCAGGGGGCGGGGCCCCGCTCGTGGAGGAGGGACTGGAACCGGCGGGAGGTGGAGCCTCGGGTTTGGAGACTCAGGGGCCCGGAGCCCGGGCCCTGGGGGCGGGGCTTCAGCCGGTGAGTGGCGTGGCTAGGGTTCCGGAAAAGGGGTCTAGTTCTGGTGAGGGCGGGGCAGTAGGGCCGGGGGCGGAACTGTGCGCTCTAAGGGGCGGAGCCAAGGAGCCGAGTGAAGGGCTGGGCGCGAGTAATGGCCCGGGGCGTCCACGCGGGGGCGGTCTCCGTGGGGGCCGTGCGTGGGGCCGCGGGCGGCCGCGAACGCCCCCAGGAGAAGCGGTGTGGGTGGAGCGGGCCCGGCGGCCGGCAGACACGGGGCCGGTCTGGGTGCCCCGCAGACCCCCGAGGGCTCAGAGCTGGGGCGGCGCCCCGGCCGGTGGCGCAGGGGCGGCCTGGGGGGTACCGCAGGAGGAGCGGGGCTCCCCGGAGCCACCCAATGGCGACGTGTGGGTGCCTCGGGGCCGACCCCCTGCAGCGACCTCTGAGGTGTGGGTGTGCTGGGCCGGGGGCAGCTGGGTGTGGCGAGAGTGGGGCCGCCCGGCCGAGGGGGCTGCTGTGCAGCCGGACAGGGTCTGGACCTTGCGTAAAGGGACTGGAGGGAACTGAAGAGCGGAGATGGGGGCCGGGAGGGAGGGGAGGGCTGGGGGCGATCGAAGGGGCGGGGCCCTGGCTGCTGTGGCCTCCCCTGACCCCCTCCCCCCGCTGCTGGGGTCCTCGGCCAAGCCCCCTTCTCACTGGACTGGTAAGTGTGGTCTCGGATCCTGGGGGAGAGGGCGGTGACCCGGGCAGGGCAGGCCAGGTGCCGTGGGGGTGGGCGGTGTGTAACCCTCTCGGCCGGGGTCTGTGCCCACAGAGACATGAGGCTCAGCTGGGTCCTGACGGTGCTGTCCATCTGCCTGAGCGCCCTGGCAACGGCCACGGGGGCCGAGGGCAAGCGGAAGCTGCAGATCGGGGTCAAGAAGCGAGTGGACCACTGTCCCATCAGATCGCGCAAAGGGGACGTGCTGCACATGCACTACACGGTGGGTGCGGGCAGGGCCTGGGGGGCCGGCTTCCTGACCAGCCAGCCGGTGGCCTCGTCCGGCCAGGTGCCTTGTCCTGCCCACGGCTCTGTCCCCTTCAAGGACTAGGGTGGCCGGCACCGGGCGAGGGGTCAGCAGTGGCCGCCTCTCCTCACCGGCTTTCCCACGGCCCGCAGGGGAAGCTGGAGGACGGGACGGAGTTTGACAGCAGCCTGCCCCAGAAGCAGCCCTTCGTCTTCTCCCTGGGCACTGGCCAGGTCATCAAAGGCTGGGACCAGGGGCTGCTGGGGTGAGTACCGCGGGGAGGGGAGCCGTGGGAGGCACGTCCCAGGGCCAGGGCCCCGGGCCGAGCCGCCGGGCGCTGAGCGTGCGTCATCCTGCAGGATGTGTGAGGGGGAAAAGCGGAAGCTGGTGATCCCGTCCGAGCTGGGTAAGAGGTCCCTGGGGAGCCGGGGGTCTCGGGGGTCTCAGGAGGGTGCAGCCCGCCTCGCCCCCCCTCGCCTGCACCCCGTGCGTTCATTCCAGTCCGCGCCTCTTCCAAGTCTGGCTGTGCCCAGCAGTCCAAGCAGGGCCAGACCCTTTGGCCACGCCGCTGCAGTGCCCACCTCTGCCCCCCGCCCTGGGCATCTCCACGTCTGGCCTGAGCTGGGAGGGGCCTGGCCTAGCTCACTGTTTCTCTGTGTCTTCTGCAGGGTATGGCGAGCGGGGCGCTCCTCCCAAGATCCCAGGTAAGCGCGTTTCTCCCCTCTCCCGCGCGGCTTCCCGCTCCCACGCCCGCGATCTCACGCCAACCCTGCTCCCCCCACAGGTGGTGCAACCCTGGTGTTCGAGGTGGAGCTACTCAAGATTGAGCGCCGGGCCGAGCTGTAGCGGCGGGGCGGGGCGGGGCGGGGCGGCGCGGCCCCCAGGGACCAGACTGTTCAGAAAAAGAGAAACACCTTCTGGCCTCAGGAGCGAGCTGTCTGTGTGTGCTTGGGGCCCCAGGGGTCTCGGGAGGCCGCAGCCTCAGCTTTTCTGACTTGGGGTCCCGGCTCCTTGCCCAGAGGGAAGGGGAGTCTTCCTCCTCCAGCCACAGCTCCCCAGCGCCCCGGGCCTGGTCTGGGAGCCAGCCCTGGGCTATCGCCATGGGTACGTGGCCCTCAGGAAGGCCTGGGGTCACCTGGGGAGAAGCCACCCCCCACAGAGACAGCGAGCCTGTTGCACCAAAGGCTTACCCTAGCTTTATTAAAGGGCCCGCGCCGCAGCGTCGATATAAAAACACAAAAAGTCCCGTCAGCATAATAACAATAAAAAACCCCAAAAATGGAAAACCGAGGGGTTGGGAGGAGGCCCCTGGGCCAGGGGCACGGGGAGCCCTGCTCATGGCGCCAGGCCTGGCCGCAGGGTCCCGGTATTGCTGTTGCTACGAGGTCGGGGGCAGCGATTGTCGTGGGAGCCACCGTTCGCCCGGGTCGGGGAGCGTCACTTCTTCTGGGGTGTGCTCAGCTTCTGCATGCCCCGGATCTTGTCCAGCAGGCCAGAGATGAAGGCCTGGACAGGAGGAGGAGGTTAGGCCTGGACGGAGGCCCGGGCTGCCCTGCCCTCCCACCCGGGAACGCACTCACCTCGGTGGGTTTGTAACAGTCGACCAGCAGCTCCTGGTGGGGAGGGAGGGAGGACGGGCGAGCGGTGAGCGCGCGGGACCGGGGCCAGGCCCACTTCCCGGGACCCAGGTCACAGCCGCAGACCAGAGAAGGCCCAAGGGGCAGTGCCCCGCAGCCCTGCAGCGGCCCCCCGCCCCCTCACCTTGACCCTGGCCGCTCGGGTCTCGTCACTCTCCATGTCCAGGAGCTCGTCCACGTCGATCTCCAGCTCTGGGATCTCCTCCTCCTGGGGGGGCGGGGGGGCAGGGCGTGAGAGGGGCTCTGGGCCTCGGCTGGGCAGCAGCGGCAGCTGCTCCGCGAAGGAAAACAGATCAGCCCTGTGCCAAGGCAAACTGCCCAACGGAGGGGGGGGAGCTTCCTGTCCCTGCCAGTGGGCACCCGGGGTGCCAGGCAAGGCCAGACCGCCAAGGCTGGGGCCCCGGGAAGCCGGCCGATGTGTCTCCCCGACATCCGGAGGCCCCCGGCTCACCAGAGCACCGGTGGGACCAGCTGTCCCAGTTCATCACAGCCCGGTCCCCTCCCCCAAACACCTGTCACAGCTTCCTGGGGGTGAGGAGGAAGTGAGGGGTGAGGGGTCAGCGGGAAGGACCCAGGCCGGCCAGGAGGGAACAAAGAGCCCATGCTTCGGTGAGGGAGGGGGCGCCCACCACCCCTCCCCCCCAGGAAGCAGCTCGCCCAGTTCGAGGCAGCTGCGGTGCACGCCTGGGCTGGGGTAGGCAGCACTGGGCGAACCCACTCCTCCACCCTGCCCCCCGGGGCCTGAGTCACCGTCTGAGCAAACCGGGAGTCACGGGGTGGAGAACCGGGGCCCCCGAGGGTGGGCTAGCCTGCCCAGAGGCGAAGATGGCTTTCCAGGCTAGCCCATTACAGCCGCCCTCGGGGGTCAGCCGCTGCCTTCTGCCCAGGGCCCAGGCTGTCTCCGGGGTGTCCCGCGGACACCAAGTCTGACCTGGGGAGTGGCGCGCGGGGCCGGGGCTGCGGCAAGCGGAGATGAGCGCGACTTAGGTCGGCAGCGGGGCGCACCCGAGGGGGCGGGGCCGGCGGGGCGCACCTGGCAGTCGTAGAGCCGCGTGAGCTGCTCCAGGATCCACTCCTCCAGGTTGAGGCGCTTGCGGAGCTCCTTGCGGTCGTACTTCACGGTGACCTTTCCTTGGCGCCGCACGGGGCCCTCGTCGTCCGCGCCGCCCGGGCCCTCGCCGGCGGCCCCAGGGGGGCTCTGGAAGTAGACGCGGGGCCCTGGGCCGCCGCTGCCCGGTCCGGGGGCCGGAGCCGCCACCGCCGCGCCCCCCGCGGGGCCGCTGTCCGCCATGGCGGCGGCCGGGGCCACGTGCGCGCGCGCCGGGCCCCTCCCTGCGCCGCCGCCTCCGGGACGCCCGCCGGCTGGCTCCGGGCCACTGGCTCGGGTTAGCTCGCGGGCTCGGCTCCGCGCGGCTCCGCGGCTCGGGCGGCGGCGGGGGCGCCCGGGGGCAGCTGCAGCATGCGGAGCCCCCGGGCCTGGCCTGGCCGCGCGCCCCGCCCCCTCCCCGCCGATCCGCCCGCCCTTTGTCCCCCGCGGCCGCCGCCCGAGCCGCCGCCGCCGAAGCCGCTTTCTCTGTCTCGCGCTCTTCCTCCGCCCCTCGACCACACCCCCTTAAAGGGCCAGCCCCGCTGCGAGCCCCTCGCCGCACCCCGCCCCCGGGCGGCAGCCGGGGGAGGGTCTGCTGGGCAGGGGTAGGGGCCTGCTTGTCCGCGCCCCCTCATGTGACCGTCCGGCCCCCACGCCAGGCGTTCTAGACGCCCGGAGCCAGGCTTTGCACGCTAGTCCTGCTTGGGCCGCCTGCTTGTGTCCTCATGGAAGCAGAACGGGGCCATCTGGGGCGGAGGGGGAGCGGGCACTGTCCGTGGGACTCCGGCAGAGCCCCAAGGCCTGGGTCCCCCGGCCTCGGTCAGCGAGAGGCGAGCGGGCTTCTCTGCCCGGGCCGACACGTGGACCGGGCTTCCGGGGATGGAGAAGTGGAAGGGGCGGCCCGGAGCTGCGCGGGTCGCCCCGACGCCCCGCCCGGTGGGCGGCCACGCCCCCCACGGAAGAGGCCCAGGTGGAGAGCCGAGCCGGCCGGCGGGGCCTGAGGTGCCGGACCCGAGGCGGCCACCGCCCACCGGCCCAAGATGGCGGCGACCCGCGGAACTGTGGGAAATGTAGTTCGCGGGTGCGGCCCCGTGTGGCGCCCCTCCCCCGCGGCCGCCGAGCGGCGCAGCGCGGACTTGTCCGGGGCGCCCCCCTTGGGCCGGACCGGACCGGACCGGACCGGGCGTACCCGCCTCCCGCCCCGCCCAGACCCGCAGCCGGTGTGTGCACAAGAAGGAGGGCACTCGGGCGCGAGGAATTGGGGCTGGCGGAAGCAGGGTGACCACGAGCGCCGGCCCCTGCACCCCCACCCAGGCGCTTCCCTGTGAGGTCTCCGGGCAGCTCCTCCGACCTTCACGGGCCACCGGCAGCCCGGGCGGGCCTTTGCCTTAGCCGGCTGGCTTTGTTGCCTCTCTGGCACGTGCCTCCCACCTGCAGGCTGGGACCCGTGCAGCCCCCGCTCCGACCCTGTGGGCTGCTGGTGTGCAGCCGGGAGTCTGCCCCCCACTTCAGCCCCACGGGTGTTCGCGTTAGGCAGGCGACCACGTGAGACCCAACACGAACAAATGACGGAGACAATGAACGGCTTCCGCCCTGCCTGTCTCGGCAGAGGGTCCTGGGGAGGCTTCGACCGGAAAATGCAGGGAGCTGGATCGCTAGCCACCAAGGCTGCGCCCCGGAGCTGGGTGAAGGGGAGCTGGGATTCCCAACACGGGGGACGCAGGCCGAGTGGCTGGACCCCGGGACGCCTGGACACCCCAGGACTGCCACACAGCCTCTCCTCCACCCCAAACAAGGGGTCAGAGGCTGAGCAACGCTGTGTTCTGCTGGCCCCTCACGAGCGCCCCTCTCTGGACGCTGGACAGAGAAGCCCTGGGCAGCAGGTGGGACTCGGAGGGGGGCTGGGATTGGTGCCGGGTCACCCACGCCCAGGCACAGGCCTCTGCACCTCTCCTTTCCCTGCAGCAGGGGAGAAGCGAGGAGGAGACCCAGGTGGTAGGGGAGGGAAGGGTGAGCAATACCTCTGTCCACAGCCCCCTCTCGGATTTGGGGTCCCTCAGCCAGCCTGGGGGGCCAGGGAAGGAGCCACGCCCCCCACCGGGGCCACTTGCCCGGCCTGGACGCCTGCTCCAAGTCTGAGGGGGCGGAAGGAGCACTTTGTCCAGGTCCAGATTCTCTGCCCGCCCACCTCGCCCCATGGGGCAGGGCAGCTCCTTCTGAACCCCAGCACCGATTGCGTCAGGTGCTCTTGGATCAGAGGGGGGGCACTTAAGCGGCCCCTTCGGAGCCGTGGCTGCTGCACGAGGCCCCTTCCAGCCCCAGCTCTCCCAGAATGCAGAGCCCCCGTCCGTCTTCCTCCCAAGGCTGGTCAACCCACATGTCAGGGGCCCCTTTGGGGGTCCCCTGGGCTGGGCTCTTCCCAACTCACTGCCTCCCGCGGGGCTCCCAGGCCACACCCGGCTCCCTAGGGCCCACTGCTCTGGGCAGCCCCTGCCCACAGCCAGCCGGCTTGAGAGCAGGCGGGGGGGGGGGATGCTGGCCTGCCCCACCTAGAGCCTTAGCCTTGGAGTGGAAGAACTGGGTTCAAATCCTGGCTCTGCCCAGTGGGCTGAGAGGCTGAGACTCTGCCCAGGAACCGGGGCCCCAGAGTGGAGGGACAGCAGCCCCTTGGCCTGTGCGGCTGCTCCACATCTTCTCCCACCCCCTGCAGGGTCCCAGCCCCCTCCCAGCACAGGACAGCTGGGGCTGCTTGCAGTGCCTGCCTCCCGGCGCAGAGGCCCTGGGGAGGGCTGCACCCTTCCGCCATGACTGTCTGCCGAGAAACCCCATTACCATTCCCAAGGCTGGAAGCCGGCGTCAGAGGAAGGAGCCCTCTAATGGGGGCCTTCCTTGGCCTCAGGAGACAGGGGGTGGGGCGGGGAGAGGAGACTCAGGCCCAGGAAAGAGCCCCCCCTCCCCAAGGACCAGCTGCTCAGTGCTCTCCTAAGCAGCCCTGCGCGGTGCCCCTCCGTCCTGCCGCCCGATGCCCTCACCACCTGGCATCCGCGGAGACAGCCAGCCCCCCAACGTGGAGGAGGCTCCGCCCACCTGCTTATCTTGTCCTAGCTCTGAGAAGGGAGCCGAGTCACAGAGATTAGGTTCTGCGCCAGCAAGAGCAGGACTTGCACCCAGGCCCGGGGTGGGGTGGGGGGGAGCAGAGGCCGAGCTGCACCCCAGGGAGGGCTGGTGGTGTCTGGGTGTCGGGGTGGCTCTGCAGCCCCTGGGAGAGAGGCAATGGTCGTGAGTCCTGTCCCCCTTTCTTTGTCTTCCCAAGGGCAGGGAGTGGCTGTGAGAAGTCTGAGGCTGGACACCCCCCAGGAAGCTGTGTGACCTTGGGCAAGCCTCTTGCCCTCTCTGGGTCCCAGGTAGAGACGAGAATTGCAGCCTACAGAGCCAAAGCCAGAGCCTGGGAGGTTCACTGGGTTGGCGGCCAACACAGTGGGGATTTGGAGGGAGGCCAGTGCCCGGCGGGGCTCCTCTTGGGGGTCCGAGAGCCTGGGGCAAAGGGGCCTGCAGGCCTGTCCTCCTCAGCTGACCCCTCCTCCCCCAGAGCGGCTCCTTCTCTTTCTGGGTTTCTAGGTGACTTGGCTGGCCCCTCTGGATGAGTTCTACTTTAAACCTGCTGCTGCCACAGCCTCTGTATTGGGGGGGCTCCCACAGGGGCCCCCAGGCAGGTGCCCCCCCGGCTGAGCCCTGCGGGAGGGGCTGCAGCCCTGCCCCTCCTCCCATGCCTGGGACACAGATTTCAGGGCACCTACCCAGGGCCAGGCACTGCAGAGCGCCCCCTCCCCAACTCCCTCCTCTGGGCACACCCCCGAGGCTCGCACCCCTCTGGGTGAACAGCCCTTTGCGGTTCTGACAGAGGCCAGCAGTGCCACGCCGGTCTAGGGGTCTACGGCGCAAGCAAGGGGCTGTGCCAGGGTTCACTCTGGAGGCCAGGATGCCCAGGTCCTCAGAGGAGGCAGGTGCCTGGCTCCTAGGGATGGGGGTGGGGGAGGGCCGCCTGCCCGCGGGAGGCCCATTAGCCTGCTAAGTGCTCCCAGGGAGGGGCGCAGCGCTGCTGCCAGAGGGGGTGAGGCGAAGTGAGGGCACCGAGAGGGGGTGGGCTTTCTCTGCACTCAGCTAAGAGCAGCAGGGGCGGGGCTCTGCCTCCCCTGGCCCAAGGGCCGCCCCCCACTAGACCCTTGCTTGGTATCTCAGAAACCTCAGCGGCCCCTCTCCCATCCCTCCAGCTGCGCCCCGACAGCCTAAGGAATCACTCCCTGCTGAGCCACCCCAGCGAAGCCCCGCACTGCTCCCCGCGGCCCTCCGCCTCAATGCCCACTCCGGCTGCAGTCACCGCCCCGGCCGCCAGGGGGAGCCGGCGCGGGAGGGGGCGGGCCCGACGCCGAGGGAGGGGGCGGTGCCGCCCGGGCCCCGCCCCCGCCCCGCCCCGCCCGGGCCCCGCCGAGTCTCTGGTCGGTCCCGGACAGACTGGCGGGCGGGCGGGCGGACGCTGACGCCGCGGGGCTGGAGCGGGCCGCGCGGGAGCGCGCGGGCGAAGCAGCGGCGCCGTCGGTCCCCGTCGGGGCTCCGTGCGTCCCCGGCCCGCCCCTGGCCCGGCCATGGCGGGCGCCAGGCCCGGCGTCCACGCGCTGCAGCTGGAGCCGCCCACCGTGGTGGAGACCCTGCGGCGCGGGAGTAAGTTCATCAAATGGGACGAGGTAAGAGCGGCGGCCCCCCTGCTCCGCCCAGATCCGGGGACTCCTCCACTCGAGCTTGGCCGGGCGCCCCCCGGCCCAGCCTGGCTGCGCTCCAGGAACCAAGCCCCGAGTTGTCCCCGTGGTGAGACTTTGCCCCCCAAGACACCCCGTCTCTCAGCTCCGGATAATTTGGCCTCCGCTCCTCGCGCCGAGACTTTGAACCCCAATAAATGCAGCCCCCCCACGCGCTGGTCTCACTCCTGTCACATTAATTCTGGTTCCCCGCCTCGGCATGGCCCCCACACCCCTGCCCGGCACGGGGCTCCCTGGCTGGAGGACCCCGACCTCCACTCTGGCTGGGGGCATCCTCGTCTCTGGTGGGCGCCGCTGGGCCCCCGCTGGCCCATTCAAACCTTCCCCACCCTCCTGGGCTGGTGCCCGGGCCCGGCGCCCCGCGTCACCCCCCAAGTTCACCCACCCCGGGAACTTTGCTCCCCCTCCTTAGCCTCGGGACTTTGAACCCCAACGAGCCCTCTCCCCTTGTCTGCCTCCGCCGCTCCCCGGACGCCCAAGCTCCCACCTGCGCTGCCGCCCGCGGCCTGAGCCCCACCCACGGTCTCGCCGCCCCTCTCTGGCCCCCAGGGCCTCCACCCCGCCGGCCGGCTCCT